AAAACCTATCAATCAATCAATACTTTGCAGTATCGTCTGCTGGATAACCGAACTACTCGGTAGTGAAGCGGACGTAAAACCTATCAATCAATCAATACTTTGCAGTATCGTCTGCTGAATAACCTAACTACTTGGTAGTGAAGCGGACGGAAAACCTGTCAATCAATCAATACTTTGCAGTATCGTCTTCTGGATAACCGAACTACTCGGTAGTGAAGCGGACGGAAAACCTGTCAATCAATCAATAAATCAATAAAACAATACTTTGCACTTATATGACAAACTTGAAACTTTGCATATGATAAGGTAATGGTATCTTCAATATTAAACAGAAGAAAAATAATGGAAAATACCGTTTCACGAATTGTTGGGCGCGCGAAAACCTTCGTTGCTGGGCACTACTCGGCACTCATTCCTCCACTGATACAAAATATGTAATTTAAAACTTTAATATAAATATTTTCTATTCGTGTGATCGAACTAAAATGTTGCATATAGTTAGGTGATGGTATTAACTGTATGAATCAGATTTTTTTTTTTACAAAAAAAGTCATTTAACGAATTGCTGGGCGCGCGAAAACCTCGCGGAACACTAATTTCTCCGCTGGGCACTCATGACTGAAGGTTTAAATCTCTCAGAAGTATGAAACGATATATATACTACTGGCTTTATAATTCTCTGGTTAAAATAAAAGCCAATTCAGTCTCATCCTCTATAGTGAACATAGCTCATTCTGTTTGTAACTCGTATAGTTAATACAATAAACGTAGCATCATTTAAAAAAACTAAATTAGAAAGTTGGAACATATACGCAGGGACGTATATATAGTGAACTGTCCCTGATATACAATGTACGTCCTTAAATCAGGCAAAACTCAAGTTTATTTTCCGCTCTTAGCTGTTTTCTTTCTTAGTTCCCTATTCTATACATTTTTTCCACAGGTCATAAATGCTTTTAAAAAAGCAAAACATTGAAACATATACAAGAGGATGGTATAACGTTAATTATATTGTACTTCTTGGCAGCATCGAAACTTTATTATTCCGAGTTACTCCCCTTGGTACACTCTTCTCGGCGTGAAAAGCATGCAAACTAACAGAATATACACGAGCACATGATAACATTGAAAAGAGGCTTGTAACTGTCCAGAAAGGACTTATGAAATAAATAATGGGTAAGTACGCATATACCGTTTTTAATTAGGCTAACAGGTAGAAGAAGGTTGAATTTGATAATGTTAAGAAAAGCTAAAAAATATATATATTGCATTGGCATTGAATCCAAATCTGTAGCAGACAGCAAGATAAACAATAAAATCCGGGAAACCTGTAAAAAACCCACAACCAAACAATACTGTTAGGTTATCGTGTTATTACTTGAAGATTTGAATAGGCAACCATTAATTAATAATTTCATGAAATTTGAAATTAATTGAATTGAATTCTTGGAGACCATTCTGTGAGATTTACAATCATTTTAAGAGAATTGAGGCTCAAATAAGGGAGGTTTTATTCGCGGCAAAAAACCTTTTCCTAATCAACTAAATCAATGATATTAAAGTACAAAATCATTATCATAGTAAGGAACTTTGTTTTGATTTTGGCAGAGTTTTTTTTATATAAATATTGAATATGATTACTATATATATATATTTCGTAGCACAAAGTTTACAAAACAAAATATTATCACAAATAGTTAATTGAGATGAACTAAAAAAGCAGATTTTACTTTAAATTTCGCAATTTAGTTGGAAAGGTCAATATTCACAGCAGCCACAGTACTACTGATGTTTAAGTTAGGAGACATTAACTTTTAACTGTGGATTTTGATGAGTTTATAAGGATTACAGTTGTCTTTGTACATTTTCATTTGAACTTCTGAGCATTGTAATATACTCTGCAAACATGCATTTAACAAGAGGACGGAAAAAAACCAGCTGTAAAAGAAAAGCAAACTGTTCTGCATTTGAACTTTTGAATTCAATATTTCAGCATTCAGATCAAAGCCATTTTCCATCTTCTTTGACATGCCCCTGACCAGCCGTTCTCTGATCTTATGTCCGTATATTTGTAAAGTAACCTGTATCCGGACATGCTATTTATCAAAGGGTCTAGCAATGAACTAACGTTACAAACATGACAGAAAACATTTATTGTGCTAATTCTACTGACTTCACGGTAAAATTTTGATGGTGAAGCCGACACTGTCACGCAGTGGCTAAGACTCAGAGTGTCAGGCAGTCTGCTATAGTTTCACGGAATTGAATGGCAATAATAAGAAGGGATCAAATAAAATATATAATATGGATTTCTTTCTTTCGTTTGAATAGATTACTTATTGTAACAGACACCAAAATAAACTCACAATTTCACAGATACCAATAACATTTTCCGGAAGTTATTGGAAGAGCTCTTGCATACAAATTGATCACATGACCATCACATGACCACTACTCGAGAGCTCTCGTGATTAATCGCTGATAACATGGTTAAATCTCGTAAAACTTTGAGTAAACAACAAAGGGAAAATGGTTACCGATCGATCGTTAAAAAACAGGAGGTTTTGAGGACTTTCCATAAAGTCGTGTCCCATGCCGTGAGACTTTAACAGAGGT